GAAAAAGCAATTTGATGCTTTAGCTTGTGTATGTCTGTTTATTCAGTCTCTCTCTAACAATATTACTACTGTTCAAATATGTGTACTTTGCCTATTATACTAAACTTCCCCTCACAGACTAAAATAAGAGATGCACAAAAAAAGTACGGTTTGCTCTAAATAATTTGTGACATGTTTTGTCTACTCATACAAGAAGAGCAATTAATCTTGATTATTCTGTTGACTGTCCACATTTTCCAAGCTGTTCATCACCTCATATTATTTGTAGTTTGTACCTCATGTAAGAACTATAAGATCAACCCATGCTTTCAAGCACAATATTATCTATGTAGAGTTACCCATTGACAACTATCATGTAGGAGGCACACTGCTGCAGCCAATGGGGGCACGATTTCCGTCCAGACTACAAGAATCTGGGCATATTGAAGATCCAGTTTCCCAGTGTTCCCATGATAGCTTTAACTGTGAGTTATGCAAGTGAACTCAAGTTAGAAGAAGTAAAAGTTTGTGAAGCAGAAACTTTTGTTTTTTGTAGGCAACTGCAACAAGTAAAGTGCAAATGGATCTGATAGAGATGCTTCATATCCCAAGATCTGTCAAGTTTGTCAGCACTGTTAACAGGCCCAACCTTTTCTATAGAGTATGCTTTAGTTTACTTTTCTTGATACAACCATGAGAAAGTCTATTGCAGAAGCACACAGGAAGGGAACATAGGATTTAACCAATTTACATGCTGATGCCCATCATGTAGGTATATGAAAAGTCATCAGTTGGAAAGGTTGTTATTGATGAGATTGCAAATTTCATAAGCGAATCATATCCAAATAACGAATCCGGGATAGTGTATTGTTTTTCCAGGAAAGAATGTGAACAGGTTTGTAGACCATACAATACTGAGATGCTTTCATTTCAATTGTTTGCTGGTATGTAAATTAATATCTGTCATTCCAATAGCTGTAACTCTAACCTCTCCATTTAGTTTTAATGTGTGGTTTACATTCTTTCAGACTTTACGCTATCTGTTAGGTCATATAGACCCCTCCATTTAGTTTTAATGTGTGTTTTACATTCTTTCAGAGTTTACGCTATCTGTTAGGTCATATGATCTGATTTGTCAAATAGTAAACTAGTTGACTCAATGCTTGAAATATTTGTGGTTTGAGAGGGGCATACCAACCGCAGGGTTCTATAGCACTGGCGGCGCTCAGGGTCAGACAGCGTTGAGCGCTATGTTTAGGTCAGCCAGCCACTTGACCAGTATGGGCCTGGGCCTGGGCCTCATGGGCCAGCAGGGATGGGCCACACATACAACACTCCCCCTCAAGAGAGGTGGTAGATATCTATCATTCCCATCTTATCACACGCTAAGCTGCAGTCTCTGGTTCCAGCCTTTAGTCAAGTAATCTGCAATTTGTTGCCCTGAACTCACATGCTCTGTCTTGATAATCCCAGCATCCAGCTTTTCTTTGATGAAGAATCTGTCTGTCTCCACATGTTTGGTTCTATCATGTTGAGCTTGGTTGTTTGCAATAATTAATTGCCGACTTCTTGTCACACCATACATTCATGCAACTGGTCTTAAATATATTCAGCTCTTCTAATAGGTTCATTGTCCTGAGACATGGCTCTGTATTCAGCCTTTGATTTGATTTGGAAACAACAGGTTGTTTCTTGCTTCTCCAAGACACTAGATTTCCTCCTACAAAAACACAATGTCCTGAAGTTGAATGCTTGACCTCCAGGCAGCTAGCCCAATCAACATCACAATAACCATCTACAACAAGGTGTCCATGACTCTTGAAGAACAGTCCTTTCCCATGAGTACCTTTCAAGGATCTCAAGATTCTATATACTGCCTTAAGATGTTCACTTCTAGGCTCATGCATGTATCTGCTCACAACACTTAGGGCCAGTTCTTTTTTAAGCCTCCTCCTCCCCAGCTTTTCCCATAAGCCGCCTCTCTCATTCATTGGGGCTTCTGCACTAGTTATGGGATAACTAATTTAGAAGCCTCAACAAATTTACGAAGCGGCTTTTTTTTAAGCTGGGGAGAGGTAGCTTATTTTTTAAGCCACCCAAAAGAACTGGCCCTTACTGCACATTCAATATCTGGTCGTGTGTGACACAGGTATAATAATCTTCCCACCATACCCCATGTCATACACCACCCGTCTAAACTTGTCAAACCAAGCTCTTGGAGACTGCTTCAATCCGTAAAGGGCTTTCTTTAGCCTGCAAACCTTGCCAGCAGTCTCAGAAGTCGAGAACCAGGTGGGATTTCCATGTAGACCACCTCCAGCAAGTCCCCATGCAAGGAAACATTCTTCACATCAAGTTGATGTAAAGACCACCCGAATTGCTGCACAGTAGATCAGAATCCTCATAGTGTTCATCTTCGCTACTGGGGCAAAGGTCTTATCGTACTCAATGCCGTATGTCTGCTTGTACCCCCTCGCTACAAGCCTTGCTTTCTACCTTTCAGTCTTTCTTTCTGCATTCTGCTTCACAGTGTACACCCACTTGCAGCTGACTGCCTTCTTTCATGTTGGGAGGGGTGTTAGTACCCATGTCTTGTTCTTACATAGAGCCTTCAGCTGCCCCACCATGGCCACACGCCACTTTGAGTCCTCCTTTGCCTTCTTCCAGTCTGTTGGAATTGACATAGATTGAAGAGAAGCAACAAATGCTTTGTAGGCCAGAGATAATGCTTCATAGGAAACATAATTTCCAATATCATTTACATTGAACCCATACCGTTTCTAAGGTATCCCTGCTGTTGCTCGAGCAGTTTTTTCTGAAACAATTGGCCAATCAGTTGACCCTTTTGCAGCCACTGACCCTTCAGCCTGATCCCTGTCAGAAGATGGAAATCACAGCAGTACTACCCTGTCGTTTCGTCAGTGAGTGAGGGGCAATACCATCATATCGCTTCCGTGAATACACCTTCAGTGGTTCTCTTGCTCTGCTGTCCACCTTGGCACACTATCAATTTCGCCAGTGCAACACCATCTTCTCACTTCCATGAATATACCTCTAGCTGCTCCTCTTGCTCTGTTGTCCACGTGGGCACACTACCAATTTGAGCCGATGAACCAACCTGCACATCACCAGTGGAAGTCGATGCTTGTATCACAGGAGCCACAGGAGTTAATATTGAGCCGCCTAGTTTGCCTAGTGACTATTGCATCTGCATCTGCTGTGTGCTACTACTCTCCCCTCTTGACCAACCTCCGGTTGGAGACATTAATCAAGTCCTTCAAACATGACAACCTAGATTAGTTTTCTTACCATAAAAAGGTTCCGATTCACGGAATGTAACATCCATGCTCACAAATGCCCTCTCAGATGGAGAATGGAAAGTTAGAGCTACGGAGACAAACTTTGGAATCGAAAGGTTTTAGGCTTAGTAGAACCAAAACTGAGTACATGAGGTGTGATTTTAGTACTATTAGGCACGAGGAGGAGGAGGTTTGCCTTGATGGGCAGGTGGTACCTCAGAAGGACACCTTTGGATATTTGGGGTCAATGCTGCAGAAGGATGGTGATATCGATGAAGATGTGAGCCAGCGAATCAAAGCCGGATGGATGAAGTGGTGCCAAGCTTCTGGCGTTCTCTGTGACAAAAGAGTGCCACAAAAGCTAAAAGGCAGGTTCTATAGGACGGCAATTCGACCCGCAATGTTGTAGGGTGCCGAGTGTTGGCTGACTAAAAGGCGACATGTTCAACGGTTAGGTGTAGCGAAGATGCATTTGTGTAGTAGCATAATCTGAATAACTGTTTCCAAAGAAAATTCTGAATAAATGGAAGGGCAACTGAATACGTAGACAAGAGTACACATTATGAAATGAATACATAACATTCTCGCAAAACGTCCATTGGTTGGCTGGCATGGACAAGATTATTGGTGTACTACTTCACAAAAGGGCAAAATGAGCTGGGATGGTAGATGGTGAAGTAAAATTTGGAAAGTACAGCATATAATGAATAGGGAATTATTTAATGGCATATGAAAAAACGAGTATTACTCAGCAGTAAGCAATTTTTCCTAAATTATACTGTAATATTGAGTATTTGAGTTTCGTATGCTAGTATTTGTTGATAGATCTGCCAGTCGAACATGACTCACTCTTGTAGTTTAAAGTGGCATTCATTTTCTGCAGTCTGGACCAGCACAATTTTCCTTTGTGCTCTTGCACGTTTTGTTGAAATCATGCACTTCACTGACAAACAGGTTGCCAAAGAATTGCGTGGAAGGGGTATTTCAGCAGATTATTATCATGCAGATATGGATGTTGTTGCTCGTGAGAAAGTTCATATGCGGTGCGTTGACAATTTTTATTCATTTTTTCTCTGAGCTGAAATTTTCTCTTTGATGATGGATTTTCTGTTACTCTCGTTCCAAATAGATCACATGCTTATCACAACATTAGTATGTACCTTAGATGTATTAGGATATGTTAGAAGAATTCTGTTTATCAACTTTATAGCAGTCTCCCTGCATGAACAAAATGAGTTTCCTTGTATAACTCTGAATTCTTCTCATATCATGTTGATAGTGATAGTTCTCCAGAAGTTGATGTCATTTATACCCATTCTGGATCCTTATAACTAAGGTGCCTCTGCGTTTATCTGAAATATCAAATGGAACATTTTGTATAATCTGCACCAGTTGAAGTCAAAGCCCACTGACTTTGGGAGGGACAAACCTACTCTTTTAACACCCATTTATTTGGGAAACAAACGCCATATAAAGTTTTTTTAGCTATACCTGCCCTGCCCATGAAAAATATATAAGAACTAATATCAGAATGAAAGTCTACAGTTCAATAAAAAAACACTTTGCCTAATAACCACAGCATGTCCAACCGATCAATCACTGTTCTGAACAGTGAACCCCTGAACATGTGTAGTATGTTTCTGAATCCTAATTTAGTTGGAAATTACAAAGTTGTGTTGCTGACCTCTCTTTGAGTATCCGAGCCATGTAAATGTTGATGCAAGAATTATTCTGGAAATTGGTATTTCATTAAGTATCACTTTGTTTGTCATGTTGGGCAGGGTGCCACACGCACAAGGATAAGGACAAGCAGCTGGCTGCTTGATTCCTCGATAACCTAGGGAATTCCATGCCAATTAGTTTCCAAGTTTGTTAGTGCTTGCCTTATGGTTTGAGCCTTCCTTTTCTCCCATCTCTCCATATACCTATGTTTTTAAGGCGACGCCTTACCGCCTTAGGGAGGGGGGGCGCTTTGGCGCCTAGGCGACGCCTAGGCGGGCGCTTTGGACGCCTAGGCGCCCAAAGCGGTCGATTTTCCAAAGCGGAGGGGGAGCGCTTCGACGCCTAGGCGTCGCCTAGGCGTCGCCTTAGGGACGCTTTAAAAACATAGCCATATACACAAAGGAATAGCCATGCAATCGTACCCGCTATTGATAAACCAGAAAGTGGAGATTAAGTTCCAAACCCTAAGGACACGGCATTATTAAATTGTTTTTCGTGTGTAAATCTGCATTTTGAGCTGCTATCTCTCGTATGGTTGCATATAACTAGTCCACTGTTTCTTTTCAACAGTTGGAGTAAAAGCAAATCACAGGTCATTGTTGGAACAGTATGTGCTCTCCCTCCCCCTCTGCCCCCCCCCCCTCTCCTAGCATTTAATCTGTCCGTTACATTATGTAGGTGGCTTTTGGAATGGGAATCAATAAACCAGACGGTACGTGCAGTTTTGGACTTTGATCACAATGATGACATCTGTTCAAGATGTAGATCTATACTTAACTAATCTAATTATCTTGATGCCTCAAGTTTCCAAAAACTGATGAAAAGTTAGCCCATAAGCTTGGACTAGATACCCGTAACCAGTTTTTGCGTAGTTATCGAGGCATCCATGTTGCACTAGCACTTATGTGGTACTGGCACATGTCATCCATGTACTGTTCCTCTCCACCCTCCCGGCAACTCCTCACTCTATATTCTGTCTTTGTCTTTTTCCTTGTAGATTTATATCGATAGTAGCTACGGTTTCCACCATCTCCACAACTCTCTCCCGCCATTTATGCTCTACATCCCCTCTCCTGACACAGTAGTGAGTAGTGACGCAATTAAATTGAGTAAGAACGCGAGGGAGTTGAGGCTGAATGGCTGATGTTTGATCTGTAGGACTATAAACCTTATAATTAGTAAATTATCCTTATGAGCCACCGCACAATCTCTTAGCGAGTTCCTATGTTCTCTTATGCCAATGCAATCCAGCATTTTCCCTATTACTGTGTTTGTGGAATATTACGAAACAAAGAAGCCCTAGACTTTGATTTACATTGGATCGCTATTTGCTAGAGATAGAGTTTGGGTTGTATTTCATTTGAGATGTAGAATTGACTCTTAAGCCTCTTAGGAGGATAACCACATCGGATAAATCATATCTTTGAACCACTTATACATGTTTGTGGGTATAAATATCTTCCTGAGTTCATTCACCTTCTTGCACCACCTTCGCAAATTAAGGGACCTATGGTGCGATACTCTTTGATATTCATGTCCTTTCTCTTTGATAATCCTTAAAATAATTAATTGATACTGTTTATTTGTTCTTGTTTTTGCCTAGTTCAGGAATGATTTAGTCATGCCATTTAGTCATTTACTGGATGTGCTCATGCCTTTCTAGTTGTCGTGGGATATTTGAACATAGGATATTCAATTATGTGCAATTCCTCCTGTATAATTTGAACAAGATTACTGGGGTACTCATTGTTGAGTCTGAAGCCGTTAGACTGGTGATATGGAGCAACTAGGATTATTATGTTTGCAACTATACTATCTAGGAAACTAAATACATATTCCATTTGGTTCTGCAGTCAGGTTTGTGGTTCATCATAGCCTTAGCAAATCTATGGAGACATACTACCAGGTACATCTAAGTATTGTGTTTTTCAGTTGTCTGACACTCTGACGATGTGGTCCCTTAAAATAGACTTCCGTGACTTCAGGAAAGTGGTCGGGCAGGGAGAGATGGACTGCCTTCAGAATGTGTTCTATATTATCGGCCTGGTGACGTTCCCCGCCAAGTGAGGCTAAACCGTCTTGTTTTCAATTTTTGTTGTGAGTTCTGCGAGGAGTTCCAATTTTCATAATCCCAGATTCCCTCTTGTTATGTTCAATGAACAGAGTTCGATGGTCTTCTATGAAAACTGTGGTCTGCAAAATCTTTATGACATAGCGCGATATTGCCAGGTACATTTCGCAATCATGACACTATCAATTTTTAAGAAGCCAGAGGATAGTAGGAAGTACTCTTTAACACTTGATTTTCTTTTATTGATCCTGCCTATACCAATTTCATGGATTTTTGTCCCTTCCATACTAACAACTGTAAACGAAGCCTTCCTATATGATTTTGGTCTACTGGGTATCCTATCTGGATATTCATTGTATGACATGGTTACAATAACTACTGCTGAACATGTGCGGGATAGGACTATAAGCAACAACAGGTAAGCCTTTAGTCCCAAACAAGTTGGGGTAAGCTAGAGCTGAAACCCATAAGATCTCGAAACCAACTCATGGTTCTGGCACATGGATAGCTTACTTCCACGCACCCATGTCCATGGCTAGTTCTTTGGTGATATCAGATGTCTCTTTACGGACTCCTCCCATGTCAAGTTTGGTCTACCCCGACCTCTCTTTTGACATTATCAGCACGCTTGGAGCTTCTGGAGGCCTGCGCTGTATATGCCCAAACCATCTCGGACGATGTTGGACAAGTTTCTCTTCAGTCGGTGCTACCCTAACTCTCTCACATATATCATCATTCAAGACCTGATCCTTTTTTATGTGGCCACACATCCATCTCAACATGTGCATAATGTCCATGGAGGCATTTTAACGTTATATGAACGTTCTTGCTAGATAATTACTCTTCAGGCATAGAACACAGCTCTCAGAAATACGATATCTCAAGGATAGCCAATTAGGGATAATAAAGAGCCTTGGCACATCTATTTTCATAAAGCAAGAACATTAGTAAATTGCAATTTATCCTTATCTACTACATCCTCCCAATCCCTAATCTAACCCTCACTCAGATCAGCGGTGCCGCCTGCCATACTCCTGGCGCTATTTACCCTCAAGTGTAGTCCATGACATGTATAATAAGAGGCTAATAGCACATGTCAGCTTCTGGATCCATTGGATCCAATCAACTCCATTGCAGGAGACATATTCAGGCTTTTGATCAATAGGGCCACTATTTTAGCCTAGTTCAATTAGGTTGCATTTTGTATTGATGTGGACTATGATAATCCAGTTTTCCCAAACAGCTTTTGTCCATTTTTGTGTTCGGGTAACCAACTTTTGCCTGCGTTTGTGGCTATTTTACCACAGCAGATTATAAATAGTTCAGCACAGCACAGTTCAGCAACGACAGATTGAGCCTTGCGAGCTGACTGCTTAGAACAGAAGTAAACCTAAAATTAAGTGCCATTGAAGTCTATAACAAATGAACATTTCCAAGCGGTCATGGAAGGAAACAATGCAATAGCAGGGATGCTCGGCAAAGAGGAAAGCGGCAGTGCATCCCATGAATAGCAGCATGGTCTTAGTAGAGGGGGAGGCAAAGGAGTCGTGAATTCGTAAAGCGGCGAGGAAGTTGCAGATCTGTGAGCGGAAAGATAATTTCCTCCCTTTGGTCACAAGAAGTTGATCTAAACCCCAGAGATGACACAGAATGGGTATACAAACACACGGTCTATCTGGCCTTGGGAAAGGTTCCCATGTGGTTCCAGGACCCCCGAGGGTTGTAAGCTGGATCAGGAGGAAGAGTTGACAAGATACAAGATATTGGGAGGAATATGAGGTTAGAGAAGATGTAGATCTCACTAGACAAGTTCTCTAGAAAAACACGACTAAATCAAGTTAAATAGTGGGAAGGGCCTGTACCATAATCTTTCATATAACAAGAAAGGAATATAATATTCCTGGTCTGGTAATTGGAGATAATGTGCGTTTGGTATTTTAACAACAAAAAAAACAACAACAATCCGTCAAAAAACAAAAACAAAACAACAACAACAACAACAAAGCCTATAGTCCCAAACAAGTTGGGGTAGGCTAAAGGTGAAACCCATAAGATCTCGCGACCAACTCATGGTTTTGGCACATGGATAGCAAGCTTCCACACACCCCTGTCCATGGCTAGTTCTTTGGTGATACTCCAATCCTTCAGACCTCTCTTTACGGACTCCCCCCATGTCAAATTCGGTCTACCCCGACCTCTCTTGGCGTTATCCGCACGCTTTAGCCGTCCGTTATGCACTGGAGCTTCTGGAGGCCTATGCTGAATATGCCCAAACCATCTCAGACGATGTTGGACAAGCTTCTCTCCAATTGGTGCTACCCTAACTCTATCTCATATATCATCATTCCAGACTCGATCCTTCCTCGTGTGGCCACACATCCATCTCAACATGCGCATCTCCACCACACCTAACTGTTGAACATGTCGCCTTTTGGTCGGCCAACACTCAGCGCCATACAACATTGCGGGTCGAACCGTCGTCCTATAGAACTTGCCTTTTAGCTTGTGTGGCACTCTCTTGTCATAGAGAATGCCAGAAGCTTGGCGCCACTTCATCCATCCGGGTTTGATTCGATGGTCACATCTTCATCAATACCCCCATCCTTTTGCAGCATTGACCCCAAATATCGAAAGGTGTCCTTTTGAGGCACCCCCCGCCCATCAAGGCTAACCTCCTCCTCCTCGTGCCTAGTAGTACTGAAACCGCACCTCATGTACTTGGTTTTAGTTCTAAGCCTAAAACCTTTCGATTCCAAGGTTTGTCTCCATAACTCTAACCTCCTATTACTCCCATCCGACTATCGTCAACTAGCACCACATCATCCGCAAAGAGCATACACCATGGGATATCTCCTTGTATATCCCTTGTGTTCTCATCCATCACCAAAGCAAAAAGATAAGGGCTCAAAGATGACCCCTGATGCAGTCCTATCTTAATCGGGAAGTCATCAGTGTCGACATCACTTGTTCGAACACTTGTCACAACATTATCGTACATGTCCTTGATGAGGGTAACGTACTTTGCTGGGACTTTGTGTTTGTCCAAGGCCCACCACATGACATTCCGCGGTATCTTATCATATGCCTTCTCCAAGTCAATGAACACCATATGCAGGTCCTTCTTTTGCTCCCTGTATCTTTCCATAAGTTGTTGTACCCAGAAAATGGCTTCCATGGTCGACCTCCCAGGCATGAAACCAAACTGATTTTTGGTCATGCTTGTCATTCTTCCTAAGCGGTGCTCAATGACTCTCTCCCATAGCTTCATTGTATGGCTCATCAGCATAATTCCACGGTAATTAGTACAACTCTGAACATCCCCCTTGTTCTTGAAGATTGGACTAATATACTCCGTCTCCAATCTTCTTCTGGCATCTTGTTTGCCCGAAAAATGAGGTTAAAAAGCTTGGTTAGCCATACTATCGCTATATCCCTAAGGCCTTTCCACACCTCGATGGGGATACAATCAAGGCCCATCGCCTTGACTCCTTTCATCCTTTTTAAAGCCTCCTTGACCTCAGACTCCTGGATTCGCCGCACAAAACACCTGCTGGTATCATCTAAGGAGTCGTCCAGTTCAATGGTAGAACTGTCATTCTCCCCATTTAACAGCTTGTCAAAGTGCTCTCGCCATATATGCTTAATGTCCTCGTCCTTAACCAGGAGTTGGTCTGCTCCGTTCTTGATGCATTTGACTTGGCCAACATCCCTCGTCTTCCACTCCTGGATCTTGGCCATCTTATAGATGTCCCTTTCGCCTTCCTTCGTGCCTAACCGCTGGTAGAGGTCCTCATACGCCCGACTCCTTGCTTCACTGACAGCTCGCTTTGCGGCTTTCTTCACCATCTTGTACTTCTCTATGTTGCCTGCACTCCTATCCAGGTATAGGCGTCTGAAACAATCTTTCTTCTCCTTAATTGCCTTCTGGACATCATCATTCCACCACCAGGTATCCTTAGAGTCGCTTCTCCTTCCCTTGGACACTCCAAACTCCTCCGAGGCCACCTTACGAATGCAAGTCGCCATCTTCATCCACACATTGTCGGCATCCCCTCCTTCCTCTCCCAAGGGCCCTCCTTAATGACCCTCTCCTTGAACGCCTTAGCTACCTCCCCCTTGAGCTTCCACCATTTCGTTCTAGCGACTTTGGCACACTTATCCCACTGGACACGAATCCGAAAGCGGAAGTCAGCAACCACCAGCTTATTAGGTATCACCTTACAATCTAGGCACACACGCCTATCTTCTCTTCTTGAGAGGATGAAATCAATCTGGCTAGAGTGTTGATCACTACTAAAAGTCACTAGATGTGATTCTCTCTTTTTAAAGAGGGTGTTAGCTACGATCATGTCGTAGGCTAGAGCAAAGCTTAAGACATCTTCTCCTTCTTGATTCCCGATGCCATAGCCAAAGCCCCCATGCACCCCTTCAAAACCTGTGTTAGATGTACTCACGTGGCCATTGAGGTCTCCTCCTATGAAGAGCTTCTCGCCAATCGGTACACTCCTAACCATGTCCTCCAGGCCTTCCCAGAACTCCCTCTTGGTGTTCTCATTGAGGCCTACTTGCGGGGCATACACGCTGATAACATTGAGAACCAAGTCCCCAACTACCAGCTTGACCTGGATATTCCAGTCCCCCCGTCTCTTGGCGTCTACCACTCCATACTTGAGGCTCTTGTTGATCAAGATGCCTACACCATTTCTGTTTACAGCCGTCCTTGTGTACCACAGCTTGAAGCCGGTATCCTCCACCTCCTTCGCCTTCTACCCCCTCCATTTGGTTTCTTGGATGCAAAGGATATCAGCACCTCTCCTCACCGCTGCATCAACTAGCTCCCGAAGCTTCCCTGTCAGATACCCTGCGTTCCAGGTACCTAAGCGGATCCTCCTTAGCTCCTAGGCTCGGCTAGTTTCCTTACCCTTCGAACTCGTCAAGTCAAATGCGAAGACCCTTGCTCATTTTCCACTACATCCGGGCGCTGTTGTAGCACGCCACTAAGGATGCGACGACCTGATCCTTG